CATTGGCTCTTGTGTTGAACACCACGTTTGTTTTTCTCCTTTATACACTGAAGTCTGCAATATAAAAGAAAAAAAAAGGAGTGGGAGGAACAGCAATTCTAACACCAGTTCTTGCACGAGAATCCACCATAATAACACTGTGGGGGTTTATGGAGGCAGGGCTGTGAGAGCAATAATATGTGAACAGCACAAGTGCAATGAAGGAAAAACATTGCTACAGAGAGGCTGGTAATTATTGTCTCATGGCTTTGAGAGATGTTATATAGATGCAAGCAGCATGCCCTGAGCTACAGGGTATATAAGGAACCTAAGAGCTAGCCAGAGGCTGGACAGAACCTGACTAGAAGCCATAAATTCTGGTATGCAATCAAGTTCCTTGCTGAGAGTACTGTTTAGCACAGGAATGTAAGGGTGCAGCTGGCAAGGGAGATTCCCAAGGTCAGCAGAGGAGGAGAGGCTGCCACAGCTCTCCTAATTTAGTCCCAGCTTCAGCTCTGGCTGTTTCAGTAGAAAGTCACAACACAGGGAGGAATGCTTGAATAACTCCTAACACCCTGTTGGTGATCAGCTTAGAACTGAGATTTGATTACACTTGCTAAGACTTGACCTTACATAACCACCTGTTTTCTGAGAGGTCCTGAAATAATCTAGTCCCCTTTTAAATCCAGCTCTGGTGGGTGACTTCTTTAGGACACCTTCACTTGCAGAACACTGACTTCTGCCACAGCACCAAGCGAGGGATGGAGAGCAAAAGCTGCTTTCCTGCATGCTAGGCTCTGGAGTGCAGGGGATGCAGAGAAGACACCCCTGCTCCCACGTGACAGGGACCACCTTCCCTTCACCAACCCCTGTCCTCCTTCACTGAGCTGCTCTGTCCATCCTCAGCCATCCTCAGGCTAGACTCTGAAGGAAACTGGCTCTGTTTTGCCCCTAGTCTCTCATCCCCTACAAAATCCTTTACCTTCCTCTGTCTTCCTGTTTCCTTTGCTTCCTCAGGGGATTGTGAAGTGACATGTGAAGTCTTTGCACACCTTCAGGCTTGTGACAGGGGTTATGGGATTAGCACTTTAACAAGCCTGAAAGCTGCTTAGACAAGTATTAAATCTCCAATCTCTCCATTTTTCAAAGAAATCACTTCTTGAGGAGCTGGAGAGATGGGGCACATAGTCATGTCTTCAGGGGTCAGCTCTTCATCCAGCTGAGAGCCCTCAAGTCCAGTGGCTAGGTAGTTTGAAGGGATTCCCATGGAATTTGGGGCTGGAAAACACAGTTAAACCCTTACCAGGGGCTTTGTGTCTGTACCTCAAAGTGCCTTCTCTCTCTTTGCTCTCCATGCTGAATACTGGCTCCCTCACCTGGCATTTTATCTAGCCTCCATCCCCTTCTTCCCTTCCCACTCCAAGGGCTGCACACTCCTTTGCAGCACTTTGGAAGGGGTGAGTAGCACCAATTAGGAAGAAAACAGGCACCACCTCTCCCAGGCACAACAGGATCAACCTTAGGATGCTGACTGCTAAAGCCAATCCTGGGGCAATTTGTGCCTCTGCTTTATTCAGAGGAGATGAATTCATGCTTCATTGGCCGTATCACCCTGTTTATCCCACTTAACTGAGAGTCAGAGAAGGAAGGCAGTGCTGGGATTACCAGGGTTGGGTGGCACCTGGTGGTGCAGTGACTGCTGCCCCACACGGCAGGGAAAGCTCATGTCTGAGCTCCCTGACCTGTCACCTTGCCCATTCCCATCCCCTCGTGACTGCCTCAGCACCGGATTGCCTCCTCCCATCTCTGCAGGGAAGAGGATCTCTGCATGTAGTGAGGGACACCATCTGGGGACACCATCTAGGGGACACCCACGGCCAAAACTGACACTTACCTGCCGACGTGAATTTGCTGACCTGTGAGGTTGTCTTCCCAGCATGTCAGCTGTAGCCTTTCTGGGACTGTAAAAGCTTGAGGAGGCGGCAAAACTCATGACAGTGACAGCGTTCAGCAATATTATTCACTAGAGAGAAATCAAGGTTAGTAACTTTGTACTGAGTTTAGTGAAAATGCAAATTAGTAGTTCCAAAACAAATCACTTTACAAGTACAGCATTAAAAAGTATTACTCGGTTGAACCTCTTAAAATTACAAACATGGGTTCCCTACCTGGACTGAAATTTCTTTTTATTTTTCCCCTCAGAGCTTCCAGCCTGGGAAATTTCAGCTCCAAATAAGACAGTTTTGGAAATTACAAGTAGGCGAAAATAAGAGAGTCTAACAGGTTAAATTTTTCTGGATTAGTCACTTCTAAAGGTCATACAGTAGTTCTGTTCCTCAAATGCAGCAAATAACCTGTTCCATAGAAGATGGGGATAACACTTAGCAGCACAAAGCTGCAATGCACCACAACTGCAAAAAGTTCAAATCTAGAAATACTGGATACCTAATGGTAGCAATCCAAATTCAAACAGGAAAAACAATGCCTCATTTTTTTAATCTTACTGTTTTTAAAAAAGTCAAGTTTTATTGTTTTCAGTAGGGTGCTACAGACATATATGACTGTTGGGAGTACAGGCTGTGTAGTTGAAGGATATGCATTTAAAATTTTGCATAAACTTTTTGAAATAAACTTAGACACTAGAGGTTGATCACACCTATTATTGTGGTCTACTAATTGTACAATCAGCTGTTATCAGTGAGGTAAAAATAAACAAGACCACATAAAAATATTTTAAGCGAAAAATATTATTTTCCAGCTAAGAACACATTTGAAATTTTACCATGTTTTTTTGCAATAAAGCAGGTGCACTTTAGCTGTTGTTCCTGCCTCCTTTTGTCACAGACAAAAGAACTGGCTGGGGTTGGACAATGTCTGCCAAGAGATGATCTTCATGGCTTGGCATCAGTTTGTCAAAGATGAAACACTCAGTGGTAGAGATTTGCTTTCAGTGATGTCCTGCTCCATTGTGGTTCAAACCTTTCCTTTCTCCCAGCAGAGCAGTGACGTGGTTCCTCAGCAGGATGTTGGATATGCTGACCCAAAGGATCATGCCTGGCTTCTAATTCCCATCTGCTTGGCATGGTGTGATTCCAATGTCTACAGCTCCTTCTCACACTGCTTATGAATAGGAAGAGGAGGCACAGAGCAATTACATGATGTCCCCATGATTACATACTGACTAATTTCTAATTTAGGAGTAAAATCTGTTTGCCCTGCGTGCTAGGCAGATGAAGCCATGTAGGTTGAAAGCACATACATATGGCGGCACACAGCTGCACACCCCTACACCTTTATGCATATTTGTGGATAAACTGACCTTAATTTATGCTGACATGTGTTTAGAAATAGCATGTAAATAGCTACACAAAGGCACGTGCAGTCTGGTGTTTAACTAAAAAGAAACCCACAAAAGAGACCAAGCTAATCTCGACTATTCCTCAGCAAGAATGATTGCAATAACACTACTTACAACTGCACTGTACACAGCGGCTAAACCCAAGGAAATTTCAAACCACGCCATGAGTGAACAGTAACCTCAGCCCACACCTCCCCCCAGCTAAACTGTGTTCAGTTTCTAAACTGAGAGCACAGACTTAGACAGCAAAAAAACCAAGAAAAGAAGCTGTTGTACAAGACACAGGGGCTTCCTCAAATCTTTCCATAGTTAACACATCCAACTCTTCACAGCTTTCCCAGGCCAGGACTGCTTACATGAACAATATGAGCAGCCATAAAGTGGCACTGTAGTTGAAAGAATTCTCTCTGTTCTTTCCTCATCTCCATCCCACTCAGCCACTGGTGCTGGCAAAAAGATTTAATCACATTCGTTCATTATAAACAAGTATGGAGAAACCTATCTGGGTTGAAAACTCACCAATATATACTTACACATTTGCTTACATGTTTTTTCCCTGATACAATTTGAACTCATCTAACTACTGTATTCAAGTCAGGTCCCTTGTGCTTGCCCAAGGGAAGGGTTAGTGTAGCAGTGAAAAAGAGTAGCAGAGAATAAAATAATTTTTCTTGATGGTGAAACTAATTAATGGAAGCTTGAAATGTTTCTGAGGCTATAGCCCCTGATAAATGGGAATCCATTGTCAGACAGATATACGCTCTGTTTTTTCCTTGAAATTCATGAGGTAAGGATCATTATGCCACTCATAACCTAAATGAAAGCAATATCTGGCTGGAAAAATCAATCCCCCTCTTCTGAGATCTGTTAATCCCTGAAGAAGATCCCTTTCCCTCCGTTGTTTACAACCTTTAAAAATTTGTGTACAAAAAACACTTTTAATGGATGTGTGGATCCGGGGCAGTGAATGTAAGCCCACTGGCAATAGATATGCTTTGCTTATTTTGCTGCTGTAAATGCATTAAGGGCAGTCTATCAGTCATTGCAGGCCCAGATTTGTTGTTTGCAAACCAATGATCTAATTTGCTGTGCTCTGAGGACTATGTACATGAAGGATTTATGTGACTGATGAACTAAGTGGGCACTCCAGGAGGGGCAAAGAAAGAGAAAATCTGCTGATATTTCACAAAGTAAGGGGTGTAAAATCTTTTTGATGATTTAAGCAACCCTGGGAAATGAGAGCTTTTTCTTCCTGAGGTAGCTGATCTTTGAAACTGCTTGTGTGAGAAGGGCTGGGAGTTGGGAACAATAAGCTGATTAAGTGCAGCAGGTAGCAGGAAAAATGAGGCTCATGAGAACCTCCATTTGCAACACTGCATATCTTCCCACGTACGCAGGAATACACAACCCGATCCTCCGCATATTTTAATCGGTATAAATCAGCGCCACTTTTTGAAATCGAACATAATTACACCAGGAAAACAAACAAAATAAAAGCCTGGGAAGAAAAGCGAAGCCATCACCCCCTCCTTTGCAGGCACAGCAGCCCGAAGCCGCGCACGGCGAGCACTCCTTGTCCCCGGCCGGGCTCAGCTTCGCAGACAAAGCGCGGCGCACCTCTGCGCAAAAAGAGCGCAGCGCGGCGCCGGGCGGGCGCAGACAAAGCGGGGCAGGCGGCGGAGCGCCGCAGCATGCGGGGCGCGCAGGGCTCCTCTGCGGGTGGGCTGCTCTGCTGCCGCCGCCGCTCCTTTTTTTTTTTTTTTTCCCTGCGTATGAGTGTTTTTTTTTTTTTTTTTTCCTCTCTTCACCAACTTCCTTCCTGCTCCAACTGCCAAAGCTCGAGGCTGAGCGCTGACAGCAGAGGAGGACCCCGGCCGCAGGCGCCGCTCCGCCGGTGAGTGCGAGGGGCGGCGGGGGAGCCGGGCAGGGCGGCGGGGCGGCCGCAGCCCCGCATCGCTCCCGCATCGCTCCCGGGTCGCTCCCGCGTAACTTCGCGCCTTCGCTGCCGGGCGCTGGCGCCGGTGCCCGCTCTTGCCCGGGCAGGCAGAGCCCTGCTGCACCCGAGGGGGAAGTCGGGCTCCCCGCTGGATGGGGCGGAGAGGCAGGGGAAGGAGGGAAGAGGCCCCCGCGGTGCCGGACTGGCGGCGGGTGTATCCCTGCGGCGTGGTACCCGGGCCGTGGGCTCCCTCCGGTCCCCGCACCCCGGGGCTTGGGATGGGGAGGCCGGGGCTGGGGGCGCTGCTGAGTCCGGTGTGCTTCTCCCCCATCGCGGAAAATTACTTCCTCCCTGCTAAACCCGCTTCCTGGAGATAAGCCCTCGGCCGGGGGTTGGTTTGGAGAAGTGATGAGCAGACGGAGGACAAGTAAAATGCTGCCGCTCTGACACCCTTTTTGTGCCTCGTGGAGGTATGGGGGGGCCGAGGAGGTGCCTACCCTCCACCCTGTCACTGCCCCTCCTGCTGCAGGTGCGAGGGCAGCCGTCTATCCACGGCACAGGCAGAGCCCAGCGGCGAGACTCTCGCACCTCTCGCCAAGGCGTGATTCCTTCTTTGCCTCCTGCAGATCTCCTGTTATCTCTCGCTAACAGGGATCCCTAACCCTGCCCTTGCCCCCTCCCTGCTGTTTCACGGGTGCTGCCAGGCCTCAGGGGTGCAGGTGACACAGGACTGTGGGCTGGTGGCAGGGCAAGACACCAAGCGCACAGATTTCTCCTTGCATATAACAATGTAGGGTTAATTTTCTCAGTTTTGTGAGGCTCTTGGTCTGAATGGGGGGCTCCATATTAGCCCTTGGCCTGGGCAGTGGCACAGAAACTCAGGAACCCCGACAGCAACGCGGCGTCTCTGGGGAAGCAGTGGTGCCTGAGCTCGGCAATGTGTCTCAGCTTGCAGAGGGCACCAGCAAGTAGGGGCAGGAGCTGCTGAGATGGAAGCTTTCCTCTTGGTCACCGCCTGCCTTGGAGTTTGGCAGGAAGGCAGCGTCAGGTCCATGGCTTGGGGAAAAATGCCAGAACTTGGTCTGATTGGTGCCATCCTGGGGCGCCTGTGAGCCAGAGGTTGTTCATCCCAGACAGTCTGGCTGGTCCTGTTCCCTGCAGGATCTTGCTGTTGGCATGGCAGGTTGTCTGTGCACCTTTCTGGGAGGCTTTCAGAGCCTAAAAGCATTCCCCCTCAAGTGAGCCACCCCCAGGGGCTGGCAGGGACGGTCTCTGCAGCATGTGTGGTGCAAAGGGAAGGTCTGAGGGATGAGGAGCAGCCAGATGATCCAGTCCTGACTCTGCCTTTTCTGTGCATGTGGGCAGAGATGCCTCTTTCCATCTCCTGTGTCTGGCCCTCTCCTGTGACAAACTACAAGAGATGGGCATGGGAGGATGGGGGCGGGCAGGCACCTGTGGTCTGTGCTTGTATTGGTGGCAGATGCAGCCTGGTGTTGTGGCAGAGCTCAAGTCAGCGCTCAGACCTGCAGCTGGAGCCCAAGTGGAAGGCAAGGCTTGGCAGTGGCTGTCATGGCTAGCCACAGCCTCCTCCTGTGTTGAGCGTGGAATGGCACTGGGGGGACTGTGGGGCTTTCTGAGGGGCCACAGAGTGGTGAGGTATTTTAAGTGTTGCTTTCAGGAGGGAGCTTTTGGTTTCCTTTCTCGTGAGGACACACTCCAGGGCCTTTCCTATAGTACTTGGGTATTTCACACTCCTGCATCTGGGCATGAACTGAGCCAGGGTTATTCAGCTGCTGGGACCTGGTTTTTTTCCTGTTTCCTTGGGTTGAGATTCTCTTTTATTTCCCATCTGCCCATTCTGTAGTAGTTCCTCATTCACCACAAAATTGCAAAGTTGTCATGCAATGGCCATTTCCAATTAAAATACCTGACTGAATCTTCTTGTTTTTGTGCTGGTCAGTTCTTTTCTGTCCCTCTGCAACATGCCAATGTACCACTCCTTGATTATTTTTCTTCCCTGCACTGGAATTGCTCTGAGAAGTCTGCATACTACTCAGAGTTGCCTGACGCCACTTGATGATTCACCTTAAACTGTTGTTTTTTCTTCTTTTTTTTTTTTTTTTTTTGAGTGTGTTTCTTTTCTATTTTAATAAATGAAAAAACTATCCCATTATCTCCCAGTTTAACATTTGGGAGCAGGGGCAAATGTTAAGGCCACAGCTGCAGAGAAGGACAAATGATTTGTTTGGAAAATTGCAAATAAGCAAGCAAAAAGGGACTTTTTAGTAGGGACAGTATCAAAGAAGGATAAGTGGAAGTGAACTGAATGATCTGTGTAGCTTGACCAAACCCTCTTGCTGCCAAAGAACAAGGAATGGCTTGGCTGTTTGTGACAACTGCTGCTGTACCAGGGCACTGCTCTGTTTTTCAGCCTTTCTCTGAAGAGTGGGAAGGTGGCTAGGACCATATGGCTGTCTCCTGGAGGCAGGCAGCTGACGAAGGGGCACCTGGCACAGCACTGCTTACCTCTCCTGCCTGTCTCCTGTTCCCCATCCCATGCTCTGGCTGCCCGTTGGTTGCTGTTTCCCTGCTCTGGCTCCCCTTTGGGATACCACCCCAGCAGTTTCGCCGTCCTTGTGCCATTCAGCGGTGCCAGACCCAGCCCTGCTGACTGCAGCTCAGCTCTCCTGCCTCTCCACTCCGAGAGGCACCACTGGAGCAGCACGGCTGTGCCTGCCTGTCCTGGGGTCACCATGTGCTTCCTTCCTCGGTGGGAAGGAGTGCTGGTGGGTGCCTGGAGTGAGCTGTTAGTGGGAGCACAGGGAATGCCAGCAGATAGACTTTGCTGCCTGCTTCCTTGAGAGCTTCAGCTGACTTGCTAATCTACGGAAGTGGCTGGCAGGTATTCGAGCTTTCTGTGAAATGTGGCTTTTAACCCATTGTGAGAGGGTGAATGAAACATCTGTCCTTGGCTTTATTCGTGTTTCTCTGTGCTCCAGTGTGTGGCAGTGGCTCTTTGTGTGAGATAGCCTGCAAGCACTGGAGCCTGGTAGGATGGCTTGTAATTGCAGGGTTGCCGGCCACAACTGTGCTGCAGAGTGGCTGTAAATCACTTAAATCACTCTGGTTTCAGCCTCTGCTCCTGCACCTCCTCCCTGCGAGGGAAGAATGGTGTAGGTCTGCGTGTGCGCGTGGTGCCTGCAGGGAGCGAGGAGCGGGGGTAGAGGGGGATTGTGTTTGAGCCAGAATATCAGCAGCAGTGTCTGGATTGCAGCCGATCACCGTCGCCATTTGCCTGTAGGAATCCTGCTGCCCTCGGCACTGGGTGGGTGCCTGCCTGTCAGGGGCACTGAGCTACACAGTGAGTGCCCCCTTACTCCCAATCCACAGCAATCTCACTGACTGCCCCCTCCTCTGTCACCCAGACCAAGTGACCATGACTGAGAAGACACAAGAACCTCACGTGGAGGATGATGATGATGAGCTGGATGGGAAACTCAATTACAAACCTCCTCCCCAGAAAACACTGCAGGAGCTTCAAGAGTTGGACAAGGATGATGAAAGCCTCGCTAAGTACAAGAAGTCCCTGCTGGGAGATGGACCTGTGGTAGTAGGTAGGCTGGGGCACACTGACGGGGGAGGACTGGGGAGATGTACTGCAACAGTGTGCTGTTGCTTCAAAGAAGAGGGACGTTGTTTGGCCAGGGACACGCACTGCTTGTGCTGGAGGACTGGGGATGGGCAGGTGGAAAGTTGCACCTAAAGGAAGCACGGAAGGTGTTCTGAGTGTTAGGAGTTACGAAGATTACTGGGGACTGCTGACATCCCACCACTTGTGGTGGGAGGTGTATGGGTCTCAGAGGAGTTTTGGGGGTTATGAAGGGGTCAGCCTCTGCTGAAAGGTGGTCTTGTTGCCCAGAATGATCCTAAGAAGGAAATTTTCACCTCTAGGTATTGTGATGGAGGCCAGAGGGATCCATATGGAAGGATCCATGGGGTAGACATGTGGTCTTATTGTGCTAAGGAAGCCTGGCATTACTGGGTGTTTCATGAAATGCAGTTTCTGTGTGACAAGGCACCCCTCTTTCTTCAGTTGTCATTCCCCTATGATTGCATTTAATTTTGCAAGCTAACAGCTTCCCCCTGACTTTTCCTACCTGCAGACCCAACAGCTCCCAACGTGGTGGTCACCCGGCTCACTCTGGTGTGTGACTCTGCTCCAGGACCCATCACCATGGACCTTACAGGTAGGCACAGGCTCTGCCCTTGGTCACACAGGGGAACACATAAAGGCCCTGGCATGCTCCAAGTTAAAAGAGAGTTTGTCCTTGGGATGCTACAGTGGGTTCTAGAGGAACTCTGAGGTCATCTTAGCCTTGTTTCTTATTTTAAAGTATACACATATGAAAAAAAAAGGAGATGTAACAGAGGAAAATACTGAGGGTTTTTTCCTTCATCTAGAGTGCTCTAGGAGCTCCTGGGTTTCTCTTGCCATCTCTGCTTTCTTCCTTTCAATGACACTTCATGAGCACAAGGGATGTGCATGCATTTGGGTAACAGGCTGTACTGAAACCTCAGAATCGAGCAATACTGCAGTTCCGGCTCCTGGGGGCATGGGGAGAGAGCCTTATATGGGCTTTTCTGCAGAGAGAGGAAGCTGGGCCTGGAGAGGCAGAGAGGCTTCCTGCTCACCCAAAGCCACGCAGAGCCCTGCAGAGCCCAGGCAGCCTTCCAAGCTGGGCAGGAGCTGTGGAACACGCTCCTCTCACCAAGCCAGGCCTGGGCATGGATGGAGAATACACACACTCCTGCATATGCTCTGCAACAAGTCTGTGCATGAACATCTTTGTGTATATGTGCTCAGGCCTGTGTGTGTTTAGGCATTACCTTCTGTGGGCACAGGTACACATGAGCACCCAGGAATTTCTGTGTGTTTGGTCGCACAACACAATCTCACACAGACGTCTGCGTGCTCATTTTGCAGGTGTCATCCTTTGAAGGGATGCTCACCTCTGACAGCAGCCCCACCTCCATCTTCCCCCTTGTGCCTGCTCTCTCCTCGCTGTGACATCTCCAGCTGACAGCTTGATTCTCTTCTTGCAGGTGACCTCGAAGCACTCAAGAAAGAGACCTTCGTATTAAAGGAAGGGGTGGAATACAGAGTTAAGATCCACTTCAGAGTGAGTTGTTTTCCTTCCAGTTGCTTCTTATCCAGTTGCTCAGGCCAGTCAGTGGCAGTCTGTCAGATAACTAGAGCCAGGCAGAATGCCTGCCCAAAAGCTGAACACTTGCAAAGCCCCCTAGCTTCAGGTGTTGTTCTGCCCAACAAGGGATGAGGTGTTTTCAGGAAATTACTTCTGCTTGCTCACCCCTTGGAGGAAGTTGCTCACACTGATAATCAAGTGGTTTAAAAGCCAGATGGGTAGTTTTGGCTGAGTTTGGTTTTGCTTTTTAGCCACTGGAAAATCTTTACTTCACACTAAGTGGAAATGAACAGGGAGGAGAAGAGAAGAGAAGAGAAGAGAAGAGAAGAGAAGAGAAGAGAAGAGAAGAGAAGAGAAGAAGAGAGAGAATGGCTATTAATGAAGTACTGATTCAGTCAGTATTACTGGGCTTCATGTACACATTAAAAAGATGTAATATTGTAGCATTTGGTTGAAGATACTTGAATTCTTCAGGTTGTCATACACCTAAATGGGCTAATTTCTCCCTCACTCCCATTAATCAGCGTGTCAGCCATTTCTTCTGTTTACAGCTGAAAATGAAACTTGGCCACGCTGCAGTGTGGCATCCAGCACTGAACTGATCATCTCTGCAAGTGCTTGCTTCAAAGCTGAGCTTGGAAGAGAAGGCAAAAAGGGAAGAAAGATAATTCTTCTGAGGCAGATGAGGGAAGGTGTTAATACTGTGGGTTCTGTAGGCTTGCTGTCTCAGGGATGAATGTCCCCTAATGCTCTCCCCTGAGACACCTCAAGCTCTCTTTTGTGCTGTGAAATATTTCCATCTGTATCTGTGCCTTGTTGACTGGAGATACCTGAAGCCAGACAGGTTATTCTAATTCCCTCCCTCAGTTCCAAGGCTGGTAAGGAATTCTACCTGTGAATTCTACCCTGGGATGTAAAAGGATCTGTCCATCTTGTTTTCAGATGGAGTAGTGTGCACTGTGGGAAGGCAGTGTGTGCTGGAGGGGAGCAGCACTGGATACATCCAAGCTATCCATGGAAGATTTGAGAAAAGATTATGAAAACTGTCTTTTGAGAAGAAACTTCTCCCCATGGAGCTTAGAGGGCACCTGGAATCTGCCCACTCATTGGGGCTGGAGAGATGACTCTAGTTACCCATGGATGGTTTCCAGTATGAAAATTATTAAACGGGAACTCCCTGCTTCACTTTTCTTTATCCTCATCAGGATGTCTTGAGAAGCTTACTGATGTGCTGCAGTCAGCTTCAAAGTTGGGCAAAGGATAGGGAAGTGCAGGAGATGCACAGAGGATGCTAAAGGTCTCCAGGTACCTATGGAGAAGTTGTGTCAGGGACCTGTACAATGTGCCCTGTGCTGAGACTCCTTTGTGTAGGGAGCCAAGATGGGTATGTCCCTAAGGAGGGGGAAAATCATCAGGTACAGAACCAAAACTCTTCTCTTGACACTTCTGGTTACTTCCTGCAGGTAAACAGGGACATTGTGTCGGGACTGAAATATGTGCAGCACACCTACCGAACAGGGGTGAAGGGTGAGTAAGAGCCCTGCATGCCCTGCACAGCACTGCTCCTACCTGTGTGTTCCCTCTTCTGGAACAAGGGCTCCTGCAGCTCTGGATTGACACAGAGGCTCCCTTGGTCCCAAGTCCCGCCCTATGCTAACACTCAGGAGGTGACTTCTCAGAAGAGTGCATAAGCCTACTTTACCCAGGACATCAGTTTCTTCTTTTGTGCACACTCAGTGTGAGCCAGCTCTGTTATCTGTATGCTACTCCCCTGTCTGCAGCAGCAACATCCACAGAGACTCTGCTTGGATGGTGCTTGCCACAGGCTGCCTCTCCATACAGAGCTCTTCTCCCCCCCTCCACCTTCTGTTCAGTGGCTCAGCCTGTGTGGTGCTTCCCACCCTCTGAAAGCTCTTCAGAAGCTCTGGGTAAAATTCAGACCTGCTCTATGAAACTTCCCATTGTGTGCAGGGCCCTGTATTTGCCCCTGGGATCTCCTCAGTGCTGCTCTGCTTGGACAAGGCAGAGGAAAGCCCCATTTTGCACACACACACCCCCCACGTGCATTTTCATGCAACCACCTCTAAGTCTTCAGCATCCTGTTCAGCACACAAAACTGGTGTCTTCTCACCACCTCTAAGGCTTCAGCATCCTGTTCAGCACACAAAACTGGTGTCTTCTCACCAGTAAAGAGAAGCAGTGGGAAATCAAAGGAGGTCTTGAGCATGTGCTGGTTGTACTCACACCCTTCTAGCAGCCAGAAGGTTTTCTGCCAAATTTGTCTCAAACCAGGACAAGTACATGCATGTGAGAGGGCACAAACCGTTGCCTGTTCACCTGCCCATCCATCTGTGCTATCCTTCCAGCTGTCCTTACGCTTCACTAACCCACTGATTTTGCTCTTCTTTGCTGGCATGGGCTGTTCCTTTCTCCCCCATCTCCTTTCTGCTCTTTTACTCATGGCTTCCTCTCTCCCTCATCATTCCCTATCTGAGGGTCTTATTCCCTGTGGATTGTTTTCTCCTAGTGGACAAAGCCACGTTCATGGTTGGCAGCTATGGGCCACGGCCAGAGGAGTACGAGTTCCTGACGCCTGTTGAAGAGGCTCCTAAGGGTATGCTGGCTCGAGGCACCTATCACAACAAATCCTTCTTCACGGATGATGACAAGCACGACCATCTCACCTGGGAGTGGAACCTGTCCATCAAGAAGGAATGGACAGAATGAGTTCACCCAGTTTGCCTTCCCCCTTCCCATCCCCCTGCCTCCTGCACCAGTCTCCAGGCCTTTGCTGCTTCTTCTGACACACTGAAAACAACCCAGCAGTTCTCACCACCACCCCGTCATGACACCATAATGGGTTAAATTGGGAAGCATCTCCCTCCCTCTCCCCCAGTACTTCCTCCTGTTGTCTCTCCCATACCAACTCCAGTCCTGGAAGTGCCTTTTAGAGGAAACAAGATCACCTGGCAGGGGTGGACTGGTCCCTGGAAAATCCCTATCTTGAGTTACACTTGCCATGTGCTCTGACTCATTGTAAAGGGTTACTTACTTCCTGTGATGGTCTCCTGGTCTGTATCTGGTGCCCTACCCTGTTAAAATCCATCCTTGTGCAGGCAAAGCCAGTCAGGGGGAATGCAGCTAGATGCCGTAACATGACTTCAGTGTCTGAGAATAAAACCAGTTCTTTCTTCTTTTCTGTGCAAGTGTCACATTCTTTTCTAGAGCATGTTTCTCAGTGATGTGTGTGTGAAGAATGCAGTATAGGAAGGCTTAAGAGCATATTTCAGCAGGGAAATAGCCCTCCTCCTTCAAAGCAGGAGCCTTACTCTGCAAAGCAGAGTAAGCAAATTATTTCAGAACAGTTTCCCTTCAGGGATTTCATTAATTCTTTGAAGCCCAAAGTCTGGGCTGTGATGGGGGTAGACTCCAGGGTGGACAGCCCCCACCTCTCATCCCAGATGGCTGCTGAATGAGCCAGGGAGCTATAGCATACCCTTCTCATGTTCAGCACTTACCGTAGCAGCTGTTCCCCAGAGCTAATGCAAGAGTTGCATGTCCTTGTGGCTAGCCTGCTGGCCAAGCCCAAGGGAACATCAGCCTCTGGGATCCAGCACCTGGGGAGGGATGTTCTTAGCCTAGCTGGGGTGTCTGGTCACAAAGGTGCCGGGCAGCTGTGAAGTCTAGTGCTGTGGGTGAGGATGCACCACGGCGTGTTGGTGCAGCTCTCCAAGGCTGATTCCTGCACAGCAGGGAGGGGCTTTCTCCAGCCAGGCAGTTATCTCAGGCCTTTGCCCTGGGCCAGCTGCTCCCTTCCCACCGCCCCAGGAAGGTTGTGGGTCCCCACAGCAGCTGACGTGTCTCACCGAGGAGAGGACAGGAGCAGGGTGGCATGGCGAGGAGAAGGCGAGCTGGCACCATGGGCACATCCATCTTCTCGTGCCTCTTTGTTATCCTGCTCACCAGATGCTCCCCAGCAGGCTGTGCTGGAGGGAGTGACTCTGCATCCCACAGTAAGTGAGCTTTCTTCCCGCCTTGGGGAAAGTCTGGGTCTGCTTCAGGGAGTCTTCCTTATCCAAGGTATGCTGCACAAACATGTTGAGCTTGCAAGAGAGGTGTGGGGGTGAGCTTGTAAGGTTGGGATGCTTGTGTGTGTACTGGGGGGATCCTCTTTGAGCTGCTCCTTGTGTGCACTCTGCCCAACCCTGACCTTTGCTCTGCAGGCACAGCCAGCGCCACAGAGAAACCTGTCCTGTTAAACAGCATCCCAGATGCTGAAGCCTTCATCAGTGGTGCAGAGGTGGCAGTCATTGGATTCTTCCAGGTGTGTTCACAGCACCTTCCCTCTGCCGGTTGTGAGCTCTATCCCACCCTGATGAGAGCAGGAAGCTGGATGTGGTGTAAGCACCTGCCAAAGGCAGCTGTTGTCCCAAAAGGTGCTGGGGCTGTGACAGGCATGTGGAGGGATTCGGTGATGGGTCACAGAGAGAGCACAGGGAATTTGGTCTGTGCCTGGAAAAAGAGATGGAGTAAGGGAGGAAGATGAAGGAGGCTGTAAGGCTGTAGGAGCCCTGGAGCAGGAGAGAGGGAAATGCTGCAGGGGAAGAAACAGAAATATACATGGTAGAGAAACAGTGTTGGTGAGGGGTGAATGGGAAGGTCAGTTATTTGCTGTAGTCAGCAAAGACAGAGTAAAACACTGCCTGTGTGATAGGGATGAGGAAGCCAAGTCTCAGGGAGAAGTGATAGTGCAGGTCTGCTGAAGTCCAAGAGGGTTTGGGCTCAGGCTGCAGCCTCTTTGTAGGGAGGATGTAGGCATGGTCTCTGTTTCACTTCTTTGTTCCCCAGAGTAGTAGTAGGTACCCTTGAGATCTCTGTCTCTTTTTATCCAAATTCCGCTGAATTCAAAAGTGAGTGACAGCCGAGTCCCTTGCCCCCTCCAAATGCCACGAGTATTTTTCCTCAGAAAATAAAAGGAAAATATTTATTGAGCTACAGCACTGTACAATCCTCTTTCGCAGGATCCTTATTGCTTTTAAGGTCCCCAAATTGCACCTTTTTCCATGCTTTCGCTGCCTCATGTCAGAGAAGGCTTCAGGCTTCCAGAACCAGGTCCTTCTGCAAGCACCTTTGTCGTTCTGCCCTGTGCCTGGGGCTGGAGGGCAGCCTAGGGAGGGCATCGTGCCCTTGGTACAGGGCAGTGGCACCTCCCAGCCCACCAGAGAGTGAGAACCGACGGTGCTGCCTGCGCAGTGCGGGCAGCAACAAGTCTGTGAGCTGTGAGCCTTATCCCCAGGGGCCTGGTAAGCGCTGATCACAGAGCACCAGCCGCCTCGGCTTCGGTGCCTGCAGGCAATTGGAGCTCCTTGGGGGTTGCTCTTGCAGCGCTGAAGCTGTGCAAAGCAGCCAGGCAATCTGCACACGCAGAATGAAAGTGCCGAGACGCCTCCTTCCCCGAGGGTAGCTGGCTGGGCTTGCGGCAGAGCTGCACCCAGAGCCTCCTCCCGAGCTAAGCAGGGACACGGCTCCTTTTGTCCTGTGCCACAGTGACCTCCCTCTGCAGGACTGCATTCTTCAGAGCCAGACAGGAGGCTGCTGCCGTGCAGCCCCAGCCGCCAGGAGCAGGAGGCAGCAGCCAGCCACATCTCGGGCATTCAGTGCCTGAAGCATGGCCGGGCTGCATTTGAACGGGAGATAAAGACGTGCGTGTGCCATGAGGGCTTGGCTCTCGGCCTGAAAGTAGATTCATCCAAATAAAGCCCATGTTCTCTGCTCACCATAAATTATTTCTCTGCTGCAGCCCTTCAGTTCACTGCAGCATGTGGCTCGGCATGATTCCCGTATAATGAGCACGGCCTCCCTGACTGGGAACAGCATGCCGTGATGGAAACACAGCACACTGCTCCAGAAACCCTGCGTGTCTCTGAGAAAGGGCCATGCTCGCCCTCATTAAACCCCAGGTTTCCCAGGAATGCTCCAAAACTCAGCGAGATTATTCCCACCCTAGGCTTTAGCGCTCTCACCAGAGCAATGTTGATGCGCTGGCATTTCCAAAACATGTCATGAGAGATGTTTTTCTTTGGAATGAACAAAGAATTTTGTTTTCCCTTCTCTCTGGGCTCACAAACAGCTGAGCTGACAGTTCAAACTAAAAAGAAAAACAAACCAATTTCCAAGCAGAGACCATGTCTTGAGAATTTATATCCAATAAATAGAAGTATCAAAAATACATCACTAAAAAGTTGGGAATGGGAATAGCAAGGAATGCTTTAACACAGGCAAAGGACATTAGTATTTAATGCTTTCTGCAAGAAAGAGAATGGACCTCAAAAAGCGGAGAAATTGCACATAACCTGAATTAACTACTTTTTTACAAAATGCACCTAAGATATCCTTTTGAAAGGAGCCACGGTACTGATAATGCAAGGTGTTGAAAATTGTAACACCCTGACTCTAGCATCAAGGTTAGCATAAAAATGGCGACGTTTATAGATATGTATGTATTTTAGAAACACACACTTACACATACATGCTCCTAGATAGATATAGATATAGATATATAGATATAGATATAGATTATATAGATATAGATATAGATATAGATGTATATATAGATATAGATATAGATTATATAGATATAGATATAGATATAGATTTTTTTTTAAACTAGCTACACCTATGCTCTGGTGAGTGCCCAAGGGCTCAGCACCATCCTGGCAGGTTCCAGGATCCCGGAGCAGCCCGCCCGCGCTCCCGCGGGGACCGAGCGGCCGGCAGGTGTCGCGCTCGTGCCGCCGGTGCCGGTGCCGGCGCCGGCGCCGGTGCCCCGTTCGGGCTCGGCCGCTGACCGTCCCGCTGTGCCCCGCAGGACCCGCGGAGCCCCGAAGCGGAGCAGTTTCGCCTGGCGGCCGGAGAGATCGCAGAGGTGCCCTTCGGCCTGAGCAGCAGCGCCGCCGTCCTGTCCCGCTACGGCGCCTCGGAGAACACCGTGGCGCTGTTCCGCAGGGTGCGTGGGCCCGCGGCGTGGCGGGGGCATCGCCAGCCGCTCCCTCCCGGGAACACGCTGCGGGGAAAAACCGGCGTCTCCAGAATAAGGGTCTGGTTCCGGGTCCCCCAGAGCGCTGGTGTGGGTGGGAGAGGGTCTTGGACATACAGCAGTACGTCCAAGGTGTATACAGCAGTAAAAAGCATAAAACTCATCTTTCCTTAGGGCAAGACAAAAATAGGGTTGTCATTGGCAGTCAGGCTGCCTGTCCACCTCAAAGTACATCCCTCTTCTTGCCCCAAAAAAGGCTTTTGCTTTTCAACTGCAGAGTGCCTGTCACTGAGATACGGAGCGTTAATTACACCTGGTATGATTCTCCTATTTAGGTGTTTGCCCTACGCATCTGGTTCAGCACCCAGAGCTCTGCAAAGAGCAATGCCTGTGTTTCCACATGACCTGCTCACAGCTTGGCATTAACTTGGATGGGGTTTCTGTGGTTTTGGAAAGGGTCCTGAGACACATGAAAAGCGTCCATGTCACAATGGCTCAACACAGCAGGCTTGATACCAAAACTTGGCAAGTGTCACTTCAGGCAGGCAAAGCTGTCTCCTAGGGTACAAAACTTTTCCAATGAGACAGAAAACACATCCAGTCTAGGTCTCTGCAGTTAAGAGACGCTGTGCCACCCTACACTGTGGTTTGCAGACTCATTTCCTAAATATGCTTTAGGCCTTAGAAATCTTGCTTTGGAGTTTCTTAGGGATGGATGCTGCGATAGATCATATCTCTGTTGACTCCAGCTCTAAGTGCAGGTAGCTCAATGTAGCCTCCATGCAGCTATATTTGCTGAAATTTAAGGAGATGGTACTGGGAAGGGCCATGTGCCTGCTGCAAAAGTACCAAGAAAAGAAAAGTTAAGAGCAAGTATTCTACTAGTTACATCAATTTCCCCACGTTGCTCCTTCTTGCACAAGCATGGCAGTTGAAAACTGCAGAGGTAGGTGTGTCTGAAGGGGAACAGGGCCCCAGACAGCACAAGATGTCCTAAAAGCCATGGAGTGTCGTGACACCAGACCTCTAAGTGCTCGAGGTGGGGAGAAATGGGCACACACCACATGTTCTAGGGAAACTAAATATGGCAGCTTGCCCAAGTTGTAGATCTAGCTTGTACAAAGATTGGACAGTTTGTTCTCTTTTTTCCCCCTCATCATTTCCTTCACCATGTTTACCACTGATATTATCCAAATAATTAAAAAAAGAATGATCTAAGAGTGAGCAATAGTTAGGCACGTCCTTTTATTTAACCTTTTATTTGCTAGATGTTGCAATTTTAAGCAACACCCATTTCAATTTTGGTTCTTAGTCATTGTGGTTTTCTTCCAAAAATTTTGAAAAGATCCTTTGTTTTTGCACCGTGCAGATAGTGAGGATGACTGCACTGGGAGAGAGTTTGATAAAATAAATTGTTTGGATTGTTGGAATTTGTATTATATTGAATATTCTTTGTTTGGAGTCAAGTTTTTGCAACCGAACTCTTATTTAATATGGAAAAAAAACCAGCCAAGAAAATAAAACAATAGTCAGGTTCAATGGTTGACAATTCACTTGTCTGATTGTCAGTTTTTCTTAAATTATCAGACACATTATTTTTTCTTTTATCCTGTGATGAATAATGTGTAGGAGTAAGAGGTCAGAGATAAAAAGGAATTTTAAAAGAACGGATACAGGAACTTGGAATCAAACACTCATTTGAAGGATACAAAGATGCGTCACCAGGATAGAAGTGAATCAGAGGCATAGACAATTTTTTTTCTTTGCCTTTGCAGTGTATGAAACACTTACAATGCTTAGAAGTTTAAACCATAATTACAGTAGTAGGAGGGACTGTGTCAGCTGGTGAGACTTCTTTGTATATATGGGAAAGAAACAGATTTATTCCAGTAAGAAATCCTGATAGACCTAAAAAGAACATAGTTAACAGATGCTAACAACGTAATTATATGGAGTGATGAAGACATTTTGACTAGAGCTTCAACTATTAAATGCAGGCTATTTTCCAGCCTTATTTTCTTAAAAACATGAATGTTGAGTGCTGATTCAAGGTGTTATGATACCCAGATGGGAGTCAGAGATTTCCAGAAGTCCATGAAAGCCAAGAAAAGACTTTCTGTAGAGTCCAGGCTGCTTTAGATTGGTTCTTAAGGCCTGTCTGATCTCACCTGCCCAGGTGTTGCACTGTCCTGTTCTTATGTACTTGAGCAGAGCTGCCCTTTCATGTTGGGCAGGAGCAAATTCTGTGAGAGGAATCAGGCCACACAGTCTGAAAATCACCAGCTTGTGTTGTCAGACAGGACGGGTGACTGGTATCAAAAACCTTGCCAATGACCACAGAACAGCAAAAATTACTTTAGATGTCTGCACACCACTGGAAAAACTAACACAAGAACTTTCAGATGTCGTCCACATGCAGAGAATAAAATCTGGGGTGTGAATGTGGACTGCTCCTCAGCCCCAAGAACCTCATTCAACATATGTATCAATGACTTTTAAATCCCAAACTTTGATCCTACTTCATGTCAGAGACCACTGCCCCCATGGCTTAACTCCATCACATCCTGTGGTGGTACTGCACAGGAACTCTGCCCTTGAACTCTAGTGTATTGCTATCGTTCAGTGGTTGCCTGCTTTTTTTTTTTTTCTGTTTATCAGGTCATGAAAATCTCAATAAAATCACATCATTTTGAGGGGATGAAGTGTGGGGAGATGTGTGGCAGGATGAATTTTCCTCTAAAGCTGAAATATGCTGGGCTTTATTTTTTTTCTTTTTTTCTTTTTTTCTTTTTTCTTTCCTGCTGTACTGGAAGAAAAATCCTCTTTTTATTGGAGAGATTTCCTGCTTGCACAATGTTTCCAGGAATTCCATACCGGGCGATGCCAATGTTTATTACTTGTAGAAGAAACAGAATAAGCAGATGAGGATGTTTAAAAGGGATGTAAAGCCAGTATTGATGTGAGGAGTTAGACTGTTTAATGACCTTTCTCCACAATGCCTAGAATAGTTTGTCAGCTAATTCTCCCTGTCTCCAGTGCGCCGAGAGCTGGTAATATAGGGATATCTGGAGTCCTAAGAGATTTCTATTATACCATGAGTTTGCCTTGTCCTTGGGAGGCTGGAGAAGGCTGAGAGATCGTTATCTCAAAGTGCAGGCTCGTTCCTGTAGGTTGTAGACCCCTAGAAGAGGTGGGCATTGTGCAGTGGGGGAGAGAGGATGGTGGTGTCCCAGGGGATGGGTGTCTCTGTGAGAGAGTGCAATCAGTGCCTCTGGAGGAGGTGCTGGGAGGGGAGGACAGCTGTGACTGTAGGTGTCTTTGCCTGCCTTCAGGTGGACAATGACCGGCGGGACCTGGACATGAACAACAGAGAGGTTGATGCCAAGAAGCTGATTCGCTTTGTTCGGATGAACGAGCTCCGTCTGGTGACAGAGTACAACCCTGTGGTAAATACCAGCTCCCTGCAGTCCTCACCCTTGCGCTTGGCCTTCTTCTCTTGGTATCCTCTGGCCCCAGTTTGCATATCCAGATGTATGTGAGGGTTGGAGCAAGGGTGTGGATGGGACTGGGGAAGACGCACAGTTCTTCACTGCTGCTCCACATGTGGACTGGAAGCAGATTTGCTGTGGCATGAGTGTGGGGGAGAGGAAGGGACTCATCACAGCTCCTTTGGCTTTCCAGTAAATTTGGGATGTTGAGGGGCAGAGAACTCCATTTCTTACTACTCTGCATGCAGTGCTGCTTCCTCCCATGGATATTTGCTGTGTTGTGCCATGCCTGCGGAGCCAGCTCAGCCAGAATGCCCTTTCTTTGATGAGCCCTGAGAATCATGGAAGCTCAAATGACCTGCTCTCAGAAGGCAGGATTTCTGCATCACTCAGCACATAGGGCTTGATGCAAGCCCAAATATTTGAATGCATATTCAAGAATGGGTTGGGAACTTCCCAAGCAAAATCTTTCCCATCCCTTCCATCCTTCCTCTGGAATTAATCAGTTCAACAACAACTACCACCACCAAAACAAACCAACCAACAAACCAACCAACCAACCACACACAAAATCAGACTTAGAATGTTTCCATGTTGGCCATCTTCATTGGCTCCCCCATCTGACTGGCAGTGGCAGGGTCCCAGCACTCCTCCCTGCTGTAGAGGTTGACCAAGGATTTAGGTTCTTCTGAATTCTTAGCAGTTCCTTGGTCTCATTGCTGTGGAGTCAAAGGTACTAGAAGCCTCAGTTGCTGCAAGGTTGAGACTTTATCATTGCTGATGGGGTGTTTTGTGGCCTTCTGGATGGCTATAACAGTGCTGACCAGGCTCTGCTTGTATCAGGGAAGAATGGCCCAACCTGTTGCAGTGCTATACCATTTTTAAGATAAACCCAAGGATCATCTAAGAGACCCAATGTGAGTTTTGTTTTGAAATTTAACTTTTTTTTTGAAATTTAACTTTTTTTTTTTTCCCCCCCAATGAAATATTGTAGGAGTTTGGGTTTTTTATCTGTAACAAAAAAACCCCAAGACCAAAAACAAAATTGTTTTTGTTTTTTCATCTTCAAAAGGGAAAAATACATTTTAAAATCACACATTATTTCTGGGGACTGCTATATCCTGCTCCCTTGGCCTAACAGCCTTTTCAGAATATCCAAGTCACATCAGCAGGGATGGTGTTCTCATCTTCGTAATTTCCCAGACCTTCTGAAACCTTGGAGCCCCTATTAGATCGTTTTACAGTTCTTGGGACAATGCAATTTCATTATGCATTTCTGTTGGTGCTTTGGGCTCTCACTGCCTGTTTGGCACCCAGGCTGTCTCCCTGACTGAGAATTCCTCAGCTGTTCAGCTGGTCCCCTCCACCCTGATTGTCAGTACAGATGTTGTTACAGTTTTTTCCCAGATGCTGTGGAGCTATATCAAGGTGCTGCAATTAACAGTGCCTCCTGAAATCACTGGCCCAAAGCCCTCCCAGCTTCCCTAAGGTAGCTTGGTTTTTCATAAATATTTATTCCCAGTGCATATGCTGTTTGCATCCAAAAATGCTGCAGGTCAGCAGATAATGGGGTCACATGGTTCGCACCAAGTGCTGCCAAGAGTTTCTCTCCCCATCCTGGGGCTCTTACTGTTTCTCCTACATACTTTAGGATTTTTTAGGCAATGTTTACCCTGTGGGCTTTTCAGGAGAGTCAGATGTGATCCAGCCCTCCTGATGAGCTCTGCTGATTGCTCTTACACAAGGCTGTGTGGACAAGCACACCTTTGTGCGGAGTGGCTGGAGGAACTGCTGCTCCCTCCTCGTCTGCTCTCACCCCGGCCTTGTCAAGGGCCTTGGTGCTGGCTGGCTTCATCCTCACCTTCAGCCTCATCCTCCCCCATGAAGTCCTCTAACGCTTTCCAGCTTAGCTTGCAACCCCTCTACTGTTCCCTGCCTCAGTTGCACACCATCAGAAAAGTGAAGGGATAGAAAATATCTGATAAATATTAAGCTAACAGCAGAGTCTCCTTTGCCAAAGTCTAGATGTCTGTTATTCATGGCCCTTGCCAGCATGCACTCCCTGACCCCTTCCTTGTTACTCTGGAGCATGTGGAAACTTTCTGCTGCCACTGGCGGGGAGCGGCACAGTCTGTGCCTCTGTGGTTTCGGTGGCACTAGGGAGGCAGCAGGTCTGGCCCCACTCCTGTTTAATTTGAGGGAGAGGCTGCAGGCCTGCAGGAAGCAGACAGAAGCGAGATGAGGAGTGAGAGAGTTCGTGGAGATGTGCCGTGGCTTCTTGGGCAGTGCCAACCCTGGTTCCTCACAGAGGGCCAGTGTGTAGTGCCCACGTGGCCCTTGCCCAGGGTCCTCTCCCACCGTGGGACAGCAGAGACAATTTTAATCCTCAGCACTCAGGAGTGTGCAGGCCATCAGGCTGCTGAAACTGTGAACTCATCCCCATCCTATATACAGGGTAACACTAAAGAAAGAAAACAAGGACAAACACCAACTTTGACACCACAAATCCTTTCCACTTTCTTGCTCATATTTCAGACAGGTGCTGGACCTTAGCAATTTAGGACACCCTTATATTCAGTGTTTGCTGGCCTTGCTCTTCACATCTTTAGTCTTCAGCTTCCTGTATTCTGCCCTACTCCTATTCCTCTTGCTTAGTCAGTAATTTTCTTAAGGCCAGTGATGGACCTTTGTGGTCTTCAGACTCTTGTCTGGGAAATAAGCAAAGCCAGGAGGTTAAGAGCTTCTGCAAAGAACATGGATTGGATCCCCCCTGCTTTAAAGAAATCTGTCCTGCTTTTGATGCTGATTTGCAAAGAAACCACAGCTGAGCCATGTCCCACTGACACTGAGTGTTCTCAACCTCCTTGCCGTGTTTCTGTCTCTGTGCTGGGCAGACAGCAATAGGTGTGATGCAGAGCTCACTCCAGTTTAACCTCCTCCTGATCACAGACAAGATGTCTCCAAAGCACCCTGAGCGAATGCGCAAGTTTCGGGCGGCGGCAGAGCTCTACAAGGGGAAGGTAAGTCCAAACAGAGAAAGAGGGGCTGTTGGGGAGGAAAAAACCCAGTGATTTCTGCCCTGAATGGGGAGGGCATAATCTCCTCTGTGAATTATGAGAGCAAAGGTCAAGTAGCAGGAAAAGTGGATTATCTAGATAATAAGTGGACGGGTTGGTTCTGTTCACCTTTTGCCAGTTTGCCACCTCGCTGGGAAAATACCTTCTGTATCCTGCTCTCTGCTGTCTTGCTGAAACATCGTGGACTTTGTTGCTTTTAGTCCAGTTTTGTTCCCTCGTACTAGGAGAGGACACCCAGCTGCTGCTCTGCAGTCTGGCAACAGTTGCACTCTACTGATGTGAGAGGTGAATTTCTACCTACAGCCTGCAGGATGCCAAGGAGCCTTATATACGTGACCAGATAGCAAATAATGTCAGTGCTTCTTAACCCTTTCACTTCTGGAAATGACTGTTTTAAAGGAGCTGCAAATTTATTGCTTTGACTTCCCACCCTAAGGTGATGAGATGGATGAGGTGTTTCAGAGAAATTTTGCCTGAATCTCATCCCTCAGGGAACAGAGCTCCCAATGTAGTAAATCATCTGATGTCTGCTTCTCTGCCGGCAGCAGGATTACAGCGGAATTTGTGTCCAAGGAACAGAGGAATGAACTTGCAAGCCAAGGAGGATTGGGAGCAACAGGAAGATATCTGTGGCAAGGGAGAACAGCAGATGGGAGAGGACAGAGTATCACAGAAGTGGGGAAGGATGAGCTGAGAGGCACAAAGAGGTCTTCCTCTGAGAAGTGTGGAGCTGGAAAGATTTGGGATCTGATAACTAGGATATCTGTATGCATCTGGTTTTGGTATTGAAGGAACAGATTATAGATCAAGTATACCCTCACCTTCAAATTCAGGGACCTCCTCAGAACCAGGCAATCTCAGAAGTCTTGAGACTTGCTTATGGCAGGACAGCTTTGGAACCTTTACATCTTTCCTAACCATTGGCAAGAGACTAGGCAGAAACTATGCATCAAAATCAAAAGGCCTCTTCAAAAATGTTTTGCTTTGATGAATATGTAGTCATAAAAGAAAACTCATTTATCTGTAAAATTCTATTTATCTATTGTGAGATGTGTGTTAAAGTGACACAATTAACACTGTTCTCCATGAGACGCAGAATGTGATACAGGTCTCCACCCAGCAGCTATTTCTTCCAACACAATGCTGTTTAGCATCACTGTCCTTTGCTGATGCAGCTGCATCTAGTTTTCATGTGACTTGCCTAGATCTGAGTAAATAGCTATAATTTTCCTAGAAATACTTCACAAAACATTGGATAAAATGTTGTACTGAAGTTCAGACAATTTATGAATTCTCAGCAAGCCAAATCTAGGGGTTTTTTAATTTGTTCAGGCACATTTCCAAGCAAATAAGTCAACAAGTTTGCCAGAGCAGAGTACAAACATTAAAGATGTGGGGATTTGACTAATTATTTCCACTTTATTGCTGTGGTACTTGAGGACACAGAAATGAAGTGACCTAGAGTCTAATAAGTTATTTTTCCTGAAGGAGTGGCACTCTGAGGAGTAAATTGTGCTTTGGACTGTCCTCCTAGAAAGCAGCAAGAGAGAGCTAAGATCCCTCTGCTTGAATTTTAGATCTGGATAGTAAGGAGTAAGCAGAGTGATATGCCCACTTAGGCTTGTCCCCATTGCTTTTTCCTACAGAAAGACCTGGATTGGTTTGGGTATCAGTGGCAGCCACTGCACAATACCATGAAGATCCCTGCTGGCTAATTTTCCTTTGTGAAGTTATGTGTTGTTGGAACTACCAAGTTAATTGAAGTTTGCTTCATAATAAATATTGATTAGATTTTGCTTTTCAGTGGCTTGCAGATTGTCTGAGAATAAATGCAAGATTCTTGACTTGAATTTTGTTCAGGATTACCAGTGAGTAATTCCTGTCCTGTGGGATAATGGTGAAAGGTTTGTTGGTGCTGAGGGGTTAGTGCTACCAGTGTTTTGAGCAAGGAATCATTGCTGTGCAGTGGAGAGATGTTCAGACTCCCTGTGAGCACGTACCACTGCATCCAGCACTGCTCCACAGTGACTGCAGAGTGCCAGAACAGAGTGGGGATGCTTGGTGTGTGTTGCAGTATTTCTCCAAGCCAGTGCAGAACACAAACAGAGCCTCAAAAAGGATCCCAAGCAGGAGAAGGGGCACTGATCCTGTCACACATCTCTGCTGCACGCTGATGGAAGAGCAGTCCTTGTCACTGTCATCACCACTGGGAGGGAAAAGAGAAACTTGTTGCTTGGATGGAGAGATGAAGAGGAGCTGCTGCTGCTGCTGAGTGACCAACCCCAAAGAGAGAAGAAAAACCATAGAATTGTGAAATAACTTATAGAAGTGTGAAAACACTTCTAAGATGTTTGAGCCCAACTGTTAATGGACATGAGGAAATGATTCATCTGCCAGTTTCTGGGTTATGGTCCTTTCACCTCTGGTTTATGATATTTTCACTTCTGCCTGAGGGGCAGCTGAAATTTTCAGCTGGAGGATCCATGAAGCAGGATGGTGAGGACTTTTATTTGAAAACAGTCTGAACTGCACCTGGAGCAACAGTAAGTGCCTGGAGCAGTCTAGATTTTTCTAGATTTTATTGTGGGACACGAGCCCTGTAAAATATTGGAGATGAAAATGCAAATGGTAGATGATGCTAAACAAGCAGAAGCTGGCCACAATAAGAAGAATTATGGTAGTTTTCTAGCACTTTTTGAGAAACAGTTGTGGGTGGATAACAGCTAACAGAGTTCAGAGCACTGCAGCTGTGGGAGTAAATCCACCAGCCTTCTTGGATCTTCAATCAAATATGTGCTTATTTGAGAAAGTACTGCCAAGAGTCCAGGCAAGGAAAGAAAATGCACTGGAAAGGAGATGTCAGGGTTTGCATTGCTGAGCCAAACTAGAATACTTATATTCAGTTTTGTTTCCACAGTGTCAGAGTATAACATGATAATTACAGCTGGTGTAACTCATGGACGTTTGCAGAAGTCTCAACAAGGTGATGTTGGGAATAACAAAAGCAGCTTTTGTTGCAGCTGACATAATTGGTTTCCAATGTCAAAATTATTTCGGTAGGGATGTTTGTAAACTCCCTTTTAATTTAGATGTAAATCCATTTAAAAATGAATTCTGAGAAACTCCTGCTGTCCTTCAGGAGTTCTTCCATGGAAATGAAAAGATGATGCCCTTTCTCTTGCAGACAGTTATTTGTACATTTTTTATTCTTGTCAGGCACTGATGGCACCAGAACTGAGAGAGATAATATTTAGAGATGCCTCTTTTAGCCATAAACAGAGAAGCCTGTAAATACAGGCTTTTTATCTCACTTAATAGATATCTGCAGTAAAGTTGTTTTTATAGCTGTCTTTTTTTTTTTAAATTAATGACTGATGTTTTTGTTTTGCTTTGATGCACTGTGATGTAAGAAATTACTCAGATGTCAGAATTTGATCTTTTTGCTTATACAAAACAGTGAACCTCAGCTCTCTGAAGTTCAAAGTCAAGGACAGGATATAAGGCTTGACCATCCTTTCTGTTTGTCTTTGTTGGAGGAAAAACTAAGCAATGGCAAATTGGTTTCTATCATTGCAAATTGGTTTCTATCATTTCTGCAAATTGGTTTCTATCATTTCTATCAGTGCTATTTTCAATTATCTTTAGTTCCCTGGGCAATAACAGCATTCCATATCTTAGTATCTACCACAAACTTGATGTTCTAAAAGCACTGGGCTAGGAATCAATTTGTCAAGACACCAAGACAGCACCAGTGCACAAAAATTATGAAAGGTGGTTTATTGCAAGTGATGGTGCACAGAAAATGTCATGTGTGAAGGGGACATTTTGTGTCAGGGGTTTCTCATTAATGCAGGATATCTTTCACTGCCTGAAGCAGCAGATCTCTGAACACAGGTAGAAGATTGCTACAAAATGAAAAAAATTAATGGAAATAATCTCAGAATTTAAAACACCTAACCAGCTGTTGAACAGGATGATATGAAATGGAAAGTGAATTTTCTGCTTGGGATGGAACTAACTGATCTCTGGCAGTGACATAAGAGTTGCCATTATAAGTGGGATTTGTTTTTGGTGTATTATAGCTTTGCTAGGTCATCTGAGTTAAGGTTTTAGCCTCTTTTCAGCACTGAGAGAGAAGGACAGGCATATGCTTCCTTCTGTTCTAAAATAGGTGGAATAAAGTGCCTGTCACTGCTTCTTGTAGAGGTTACACAGACAACTGGCTGAGACAAGACTAGGATCTGGATGGCAGAGTTTAGGCAGTGTGAATTCTACCTCATGGTCAATATAATTTTCCCTGATTACAGTGTTCATTCTTTATGATTGGAGCTGACTGGGAATCTCAGAACAAAATAAATTCCTCATAAGAAAATTCCTGTTGCAGCAGATGGCATCTTGTCATGGAAATGTGACAACAGAGAAACCTTCTTGGTTTTCAACTGCTGTGGAGATCAGCTTTCCAGTGCTAGTGGCCTCTGGGCCAGCACGTCCTTCCTTCTGCCCCACAGGTGTGACCCTGAGACCACCAGCCCTGCCCTGGCAGGACTCCTGGAGCACAGCCAGCAGAGGTGGGCCCTTCTCCTGAAGGAGGACCCATCCCATGTCCCAGACCTGCCAGGAATGCACCATTCTCACAGGCATTAAGGTGTCTTCTTCTGAGCTATCATGGCCAAATGCAACTGCTCTCTTCCCTGTATGTTTTGAATACAGGCAGAGAAGGAAACTTTGCTGTACTTTGGCACATTGTAGCTCTGTGGGCCAAATGGGAGTCATTAGAGAGATCCAAGTCAGCAACTCTGAATGACAATGACATCTCAGCCTTTCTAGCTGAGGGGCCAGTTTGTGTGTTTCTGTTTGCTCCTGTGAGGAAGAAGGCATTCAGAGTTCTAAACCTCAACTTTTTTGCTCTTTTATTCTTACTCTAGTCTTGGTATTCATAGATAAAGCATGTACAGCTTTTTAGTTTTGGATATTTTAGCAAAGTCTGGAAGCTTGATGACGTGAAGAATATTGACTAACATTTATTCATATTACTATTTTAAAATACTATTCATCTGTTTTAAAGGTGGTGGAGATTTTGTATAAGAAGTGACGCAACAATACTTTTTTTCTTATTTTAATGACTTCTTCTTTAACATTTGATTAAAAAAATATTGTTGTCTAGTCAATCTCTTACAAAGAAACCCAAAATGAATGCACCATGAAAATGGAGTACCATTTACTGTACTGACACTCTGAAAGTGCTTCCCTCCAACACTGGCCTCTGTTTCCAGCTTTCTAGTTGAAAAGAGAGCCCTAAAACATTGCATACTGCTGTTCCATCTGAAAGCCTCTTAGATCATGTCCCTAGACCTGTGAATCTTAAATATGTGACCCTTTTCTAGCTTGGTGTTTTATCCTGCAAAAAGATGAATTAAGTGCTCTGGGAGAAGTACACCACCACCTGTCTGCTCACTACCTTTTTCCTCTTGGGGCACAGTTGGCTTTTGGAAGAAAAATTACAAATGGTGAATGCCACATATCCAGTGAAAGTGCTGTTCCTATTTCTGTATTTCACTAAAAAACTGAAGTTAAAGCTTACAGCAGCCTAACTATCCCTCCTTCCCAATAGGCTGTTGCCTAGGAAAGTTTTCAGATATATTTGTTTTTTATACAACATAAATTTAATAAGTAAAGAATTTTGTATTTATGAAGTTTATTTTTAGAGAAGAAAACAAGTCTGGAACTAACTTGAGTGTTCTTCATTGAAAAGAAAGAAAAACATTAGTCACAGCCTGGGAACTGGGCATGTAATCTTCACATTACATTACTTCTTTTTTTTTTAAACTCTTTTTTCTCGTGTAAGTGGAGCCATAGCCTTGTCCATAGGTACACTGAATGTGCTAGGCCCAGTAGATCACACAGAGAAAAAGAAGATAAAATTACACATGTTAGCTGGGTGTTTTTTTCATTGACTTGGATCTCATCTGCTGAGGGATTCTATTTAATCAGCTCACTGATTTAATTGTCTAACTGATATATATATATATTTTTTTTTTAATAAATTTCATGGTAATGATCGTAGATCATTCTCATACTGAGGGATTCTATTTAATCAGCTGACTGATTTAATTGTTTAACTGATATATATATATTTTTTTTTAATAAATTTCATGGTAATGACCGTAGATCATTCTCATCCTGGCTTATTCATGTTGAGCTTCTCTCCTCAGGTCTGAACGCTCCACTGAGCTGGGCTGTATGGACATCGGTGTCTTGCCAAAAACTTCTGTTTCCCAAATCCTTGCATCCTCATTTCTGCTCACTTTAACATGTCCTTTGGTTTTGGTACTTCATGTTCTTATCCTTGCAGGTTCCTAATGCCTGTACCTCATTCCCACATTCTTGCAATTGAATTTGATTTTTCCCAGACCAAAACCCCTTTTTACACTGGGTCTTGCAAGGATGTGAGGATCTTATCCAAATAGCATGCAAGTAAAGGATTCAGCTTCTTTGACATTTGCTGTTAAGAGAAAGGCATCTTGTTTCCTTATCTATTAAGAGAATAGAAGTGGAGACTGCCCTCCTGCTGTTCTGTGGATATATTTTTAAAGAATGTGAAAGAAGCCATTTTATTTGGTACTGTAAGTCTGGACTCGATAAAATACAGACAAATGTACTGCATGGAGCTGCTAGATAGTGGCCAAGGAAAGCGTTGTCCTAACAGAACATGCATGGTTTTCTCAAACTCTTTATAAAAATATCCCTGTTAATCTTCATATGATCACTGTCTGGGGATCTGTTCTCTGTCTCAGCTTCTGTTTTTCTCACGTTTTCTTTCCTATTTCCGTCACAGATTCTCTTTATCCTGTTAGACAGCAATTTGAAGAGCAATGAACGAGTACTGTCGTACTTCCAGCTGAAGAAGTCCCAGCTGCCAGCTCTGGCTGTATTCCACACCCCAGATGATGAGCACGAAGTGTTGACTGTGGATGACATCTCCATCGAGCGTGTACAGGACTTCTGTAATCGTTTCCTGCAAAGAGTGCCAAAGGTAAAGGGGGTCCTGATGCCATTGTTTTCCAGGCTCTTGAAGAAGATTACTTCAGTTCCTTGAACTCCTCCCCATCCCTGTCATTTTCTCTTTCGTGTACATTTCCACCTGAATATCAGAGAAACATTAGATTTAGGGCAGAGCAGAGGTGGATGTCTTTGCAGAGCCTCTTTCTTCATTGACATCTGCCTTCTAGTGTACAGCAAGAGGAATTCACTGATCTCTGCAGCTGTATGAAGGACTCTGTGAAGCATCTATCTTTTGGGAACAGTTAGGGAGACAGAGTGAAGGGTGCTTTTAGATGCTGAGAAGGGAGGTAGTGGATGGCAGCATATGAGAGCAGGTCAGAGAGACCAGTGGCATGGATAGGAATTAAATCTATCAGGAAGACTACAGAACAGAGTGTGCAGATAGGGCCTTAGGACTCTACCAGTGGGAGAGGCACAATTCAATCTTAATGTTCAGGCAGTGTTATAAGTCTCTCTGTCAAAATTGATCCTCCTGTAGCACAGGTTCTTTGTGTCGTGTGACAGAAAAGAGATAGCGCAGGGGCATAGACAGCAGAGGGAGGCATTTGAGTTATTTGGTTTTCTTTATCCCTATGCTGAGAAACTAAGTAATGTCAAAACTGATTTTATGCCTCTAATGTGTTTTAGAAAGAAGACAAATCTGAGGAGAAGCCCCTCAATGAAGAACTCTGATTCTTTCTCAGCCAAGAGGATGACTGTAGTCAGAGTCTGTTTCTGGTGTATGAGGAGTTCACTCTGCCCTACAGCTCAGCAATTCCTGAGCCAAGTCAGTCATGGATTCCCATCATCATTCCATGTATATACATGCTGTCTGTCCTCTCCAGGAATCTCTTCTCTCTTTTCTCTCCTTATTTGTTGGCTCCAGAGCTCTTTTTTCAGTACTTCAGGACCTCTGGCATTGCCCTACAATATGTCTTTCTGTGCTACTGTTGGAGCAAAGGGTGGCACAGTGAAATGACAGTATCAGAAGTAAAGCTAGTAGTTCCAGGGATCTGTTTCCCTCATTCTTTTGGGTTTTGGTGCCATGCTGGGATCCACTGTCAGCCTTGCCTGATGCTACAAACAGATTTGTTTCTTGATATCACATGAAATTTTCCATTTATTTTACTAAATAAAGCAGTAAGTGAATGGCCTGAATTTTTATGCAAATGTTATTTCCCACTCCCCTCGTCTTTCACTTAAAGACAAAGTCTCTATTTACGAGTGAATAAGCTCAAAAAACCTCCTTTCTCTGAGTTTAACTGATGCAATGCCTAACCAGTCAGGTTGGTTGCTAAGAATCATTCCCTATGGAAATGGATCCATCATCAACAGATATTTCCACCAGGACAGGAGATATCTGTGAAGCTTTGGGACCAGAACAGCACTAGGTAAGCAGGTCTGAGGTGGTGCAGCAAAAGTGAATAAGCCTAAGATGTTGCAGTGAGTAACCTTACCCAGGAGAGGCTGTTGTGGATCAGAGCAAGGCACGCTCTCACCATCTGTACAGCCAGGAAAGAGAACTGTCTGCAGCAGATGACCTTTTGAATGAGTGGGTGTACAGGGGTAAAATATAAGAATATATGTCTGAATTCTGCTGGATGCCCTTGTGGCTTTTGTGCATTGAAAAAAGACTATAGAAGTACAGTATAGATGCTAAGAGCTGAAGGCTGTGCCCCAAGAGAGGGGAAGGGTCTAAGTTGTCAGAATACCTTGCTGCTTTTGCCCTGGCAATGGGCAGAGATTGTAGCACTGGGCTGGAATGAAGCAGCTTGTGAATGAAGCAGCTTTGGTGTTGATCTGTGTGAAGGTGCGAGCCCAGAGATCAGCCTCTCTGAAACACTGGGGAACCAGAGGGTCCCATGATAGACCCTGTCACACTACAGCTCTGAGGATAAGAGATGGCTCACATCCCACTGGCCCAGAACCCAGGCAGAGCAAACTCACACCTGCCTTCCAGAATCCTCATGATGTGTGATGGTTTTGAACTCCGGGTTTTGTGCCAGCCCTAGAATGTGCAGGGCTGTATCTCCTGCCAAGAGCCCTGCTCACTTTCCCTCAGTTGGAAAACTGCTCCTTTTTACAGCAATAGCTTGCTCCTCCCTAAACCCTCCCTAGGAAGGGTTTATTCCTTTGTCTGCAGTATGGTAGAGAGGGGAGGTCTTCTGGGGAGACATCTGTGAGGAGTCTTAGCATTGTAAGTGCTTCCAGTGCCATGCACATCTGTCTGTGGTCCAGATCAAAGAGTGTGGGGGCCCTGACCTGCTGCACGAGTGCCTGAAGTCTGTGTCTTGGCCAGCTGCAGAAACTGGGCAGAGCGACGTGACTCTTCCTTAGTGCTGCAGGGAAACAAAATAGGACATGAATGAAGCTCTGGTTCTGCAAACAAGCCTGAGAGTAGAAGCAGTGTCCCCAGCGACTGTGCTCGCTGTGTACACAGCTAATTATAGGGATAACTTTTCAGGAGCTTATGTACACTGGGGAGTTTTATTCCCCCTGCACCTTACAGAGCTCTGCATCTAACCAACAAATTTAGGAGCCGCAAGCGAGGCACAGGAAAAGCCTCCTCCTCCTCCTCCTCCTCCAGCTGTTCTGCAGTACTTTGCAGGACTTAGCACAGACAGCCCTGGGGTGCTGCACACAGATGTGGTGGCAGTGGAATAAGAGGGTCTGCCTTAATCCCTGTGCTCAAAGGCTTCTGCAGTGCAGCTTTGGTGGGCTTAGCCACTGCAATAGGACTTTTGAGGTAGAAACCAAGGGAAGAATCATGTGCATGGGTCAATCTCTTGTTTGTTTTATTTTTGGGTCTTGTGCCCCATTGTGTCATCTCTGACCTAAACTCATGATGTGTGTGGCCCAGATGTTTTGAGCTGTCTGGGGAGGCTGGTTTGGTTTGCAAATGAAGGAAATGCTAGGTGCAAATTGACAGAGGGCAGGATGAAGGGGTTCCCTTTCACCTCAGCATTGCAGACATACTGTGGTATGAGGACTCCTGCTCTGCAGCAGCATGTGAACTCAAAGGACATTCAAAATATCTAAGATGAAAGCTCAATGTGCCCAACAGGAAAGTGAGGCTGCAAAGATGTGTCAGAGCTGCTGTCTTTACCCCAGGGAACAGGGAATTGGGTTGTGTTGTGTAAGATGCAATTCCATATCCATCTTTGGTGAGAAAGGAGAACATCTCCAGAAGCAGAATGTTACAGAGACCTGGAGGTTCAGCAAGGGGACTAACATTTTTTTATTTTATTCCCCTGAACTGTTGTGTGTGACATTAAACAATGAAATGTTGCTTAGAGGTGAACTAGCCCCCATCTGCTGCAGGTTGAACCAAGACATTGTGTATGAAAACCTGTGCCTCAGCTTTGTCACTTCAGTCCCACTGCACACAGAGTTATGGATCTGGCTGTGGGGGCATGCTGGCTGCAGAGGATCTGACTGCAGAAGGACTGAAGAACCTTTGCACCTACCCTGAAGGAGAGGAGCAGGCACTGCGTGAGTCTGCCTTGTCTGCATTGCTCCTGCTCTTGGCAGTGGCTGGGAGGTGTGAGAGGCAGCACAAAGGGAAGAGACGTCTCCCAGGCCATGCAGCCCTGGTGCCTTAAGTACGCAGAGGTGGACCACCAGCACAGCAAGGCAGGACTGAACTTCTTCCTTTCTTCTAGGGATCCTGCCAGCTTTGAATAAAAAAAAAAAATTAAATTTCTCAGCTATAGCTGTCACAGAATGAACTTTACAGCACCTAAGTCAGATCTGATCTCATGCACAGAAGTCCAGCACTGAGCTGGGCCTGAGTTCCCAGGACAGGGAGGAGACAGTGATGATTTAGAATGACATATGGTAGGATCAATTGTCCTCCTTATCATAAAAGGATGGAAGGCATGGCTGTCTGACACCTCTGTTCACAGAATCCCAGAATGGGTCTGTGGAAGGGACCACAGTGGGGTCATCTGGTCCAAGCTCCCTGCTCTAGCAGGGTCATCCCAGAGCACATGGCACCGGACTGTGTCCGGATGGTTCTTGAATATTCCAGTGAGGGAGACTCCACAGCCTCTCTGGGCAATCTGCTCCAGTGCTCAGTCACCCATACCATAAAGAAATTCTTCCTTATATTCAGATAAAACTTCCTGTGCATGAGTTTCTGCCCATTGCCTCTTGTCCTGTTGCTTGGCATCACTGAGAAGAGCCTGAATCCATCCTCTTGACACACCCTTTCAGATTACAGACATTGATGAGGTCCTCTTTCAGTCACCCCTTCTCGAGCCTGAACAGGCCCTGCTCCCTCAGCCTTTCCTCACAAGAGAGATGCTCCAGTCCCTTCATCATCTGTGTTGTCCTCTGCTGGACTCGCTCCAGGAACTCCATGTCTCTCTTGTGCTGAGGGACCAAAGGGAGTTCATTTGGAAGGAAGCTAAACCAATAAATCTGGGCAGAAATATTAGAAACAAACTCTCTCTTGCCGGTGGACAGATGACAGGACTTAGTCACTCTTAATCACCTCCACAGAGGATGGCTTCCTCTCAGTACCACAAATGGCAGCCCACAGGATGGCAAAGACTTGGGGACAGTTGACACAGGTGGAGGAAATATTGTCTGAAGGATACAGCTGGGACAGTGGTTTGCAGGACCATGAAAGAGGAGGGAAAGGAAGAGCCAAAGGCTGTTTTGAGGGGAGAGGACTTGCCCAAGGAGTGCTGTGGGCAGCAAGGGGTAAGGGTCAGTGAGGGAAGGTGCTGGGTGGATACCACAGAGAGCTGATAATGGTGGAGAAGAGAACACAGAAGTGTTTTTTCTAAGGCCGTGAATCAAATACCTCTTTGACCCATTTTGGCTTAGTCACTAAGGAAACTTCAGAGGAATATTTTCAGTGGAAAAACCTGCAAAACCACAAGATGCACATTGAATAAGAGCGTACTTGTTCTCTCATTTGAATTTCTATCTTCTCTGCTGAAGTACCTGCAAATCCATACAGGCAGGCAGGCTAGTTGCACTATCTGGAAAGCAGCAATTCTGTCCAGGTTAGAGGAAAGGCCCATCATAACTGCATCCCTGCCTGCCCAAGACTCCACGTATGGCAGTTATGCAGAGTTGCCCTGTGCATCACAGCTGCAAACAGCGCTGTGTCCTCCTCCCCACACGCTCACCAGGGCTCAAGCCATTGAATATCCATGGATCACAACAGCCCCTGCAGAGCCCCACATGGTGTCCATGCACAGGTTGAAATGCCAGCCGTGTGCAGTCTCCAGCCTGAACACATGGGCTGTGTGAGCACTCCAGGTTTCTCCCTATCCCTGTGTTATGAGTACTGCGTTATGTATTCTTTGTGTCTTCCACCTTCCTCTTTTCCTAGGCTAGACCCCACATCTCATCATCTTGTTAGGGATTAGTGTAATTCTATGCCACCCATGTCATGTGCTCTGTATGTCTACATCACCAGCATTATTTCTTGCCTTTTACCTAGTAGATGAGGCATTGCTATCTGTAACTTTCTCAGTCCAGCTTAATTCAGCACATCACTACTTCCACAGGTGCCAGGAGACATAGCATGGGTGCAGTCCAATTCCAGCTCCTTTGTTTGTGGGGGCAACTGCAGACAAATGTCAAGTCCTTGGGTATTATAATCAGCTGTCAGAAGAGCAGGATGGGAACTTGCAGTTTTCCTGTTTCCTTGCTCTGTTAGTTGCTGGAAGGAATAG